TCATGGTAATAAACAGCTGGTCACTGTAGTGTGTGTGTGTTCATGGTGATGAAGGAACATGGAGCTCTATAGCTCAGAGGAAGAAGGGAGATCAGGGTTGATAGTATCGTCCACATACAGTATGGCGATAGATTACATTGGTACCTGACGATGTGGACATGGTTCTGGGCTTGGTGTATGTGGGAGGAGGGACAGGTTTGTCCAGGATAGCACCTGAGGACAGAGACAGAGGAACCAAGCGGGTCAATGTGAATCCAAGCTGTACATGTAATGAAGTCCTTGAGCTGTGAGAGGTCGACTGCAGTGTTCCATCAGCGGAAGCTCACCTGAAGGTGCAGCTGAAACAGTGTTAATAGTATTAAACATATTTCCTGAAACATAGAATATTACATAGATGTTTCATTTCGTTCACACAGGTTTAGCACTACGGCAACAGCTGGTGCAAGTGAAACCTGAATTTATTTCCCAAACTTTTGAACTCAAATTTGCAGTGTTAATTATTGAAGATTGTAAAAAATAAAAACACTCACCTTCAGAGTTGGCCTTTCTCAGCTCCTCGTCTTTATTCTACAACAGACATGATGAAATGTTTGATCAACAACCTGCTGGTGCCCTTTGTAGTGGCTGCAACTTCTCCTTCTTGTTTAAAGAATCCACAGAATGATGACATTATATAGACTGCTTTATGGGGACATTATGTTTTTAGTGTACACACTGAACATAAAGTAATAACAATAAGTATTTACCACAGAATAGATTAAGGATCTATCCTGTCTAGTGTTGGTTGTTTTGTCCATGCTCCCTATCAGTTATAACACCACTGTACCCACTAAGTAATGACTGAGATCTGGGAACATAGAGACATCACTATAGTGTAGAAACAGGTTGAAAACAGACCATCACTTTACTCAGATTATACTGTCAATCACTGTGTAGCCCCGCCCTAAAGCATCCCCTGCTTTATGGTCTGTTTGACTCTAAATGGACCATAATGTACTAAATGAACATCATGCTGTATTGAAGAAGACTTGAAACTAGAGATTGAGACCATAAACTCATGTTTACAATGTTTACTGAGGTAATAAATCAAGAGAGAAGTAGAGTCATTTTCTCATAGACTTCTATACAACCAGAGGAGTCGCCCCCTGGTGGACACTAGAGATAACTAAACTAATGTGTGTTTTCATCACTGTGCTACATTTTAGACACACATCAAGGGCCCTCCCCAGACTACATGTACACACACACACACACATCCTACCTGGCTCACCTTGGTGTTGACTGGTGGAGATTTGGCCACGCCCATTCTGTGCAGCATCACCTGAAGCCTCTGTTCAAAACTAGATGTGCTCTCAGACGCATGTTTCTGGAGGACGATAGAGGGACATTTAAAATGGACAATGTGAATTCCAACACACACACACGATGTAGTGTAAGGACCACACTGTTGTTCTGTTGTGTTGTTATTTATATATCATAATTATTGACAAAACTAATTCAAAGAGGAAAAAATATTTTTTTTTCCCTTTTTGTCAAAGCATTTATTAATAATAATGATAACAATAATAATAGGTTTATTTTGTAAAGGTAAAAGCAACAACAATACAAAGAAGGAAGATAGATGAGATTATAACAGTACGAAACAGAAGAAAAACTACAAACTAGAATCTGATTTCCTGGTTGCTGTCGGGATGTTGAGAGAAAGGATTCTAAACACGTGACCTCCTCCTGCTGTGATTCACAGCTTAGTGATTTAGTGTGTTCAGAAAAGTCTTCTTCTTCCTTTCAGTGCGGAGAAAAACGACAGCATCACACAACACAGTGTGTTGATGTGAATAAGTTCATTTTTCTGCTGTTAAGCTGAAACACTTCCTACATATTTTTCACATCAAAAGACTTTCACAAAATTGAGTTTTTATGCATTTCTGCCTCATTATGCAAAGGAGGTGCGTCAGTCGCTCAACTATTGGCCTGTCGGTTGATCGACAGAGTGCATAGATAGACGATACATGCTAGCTAGCTAGCTATCTGACGCTGTGTGCTTACAGCCTTCATGCCCGGCCTCGTGCTCCCCTGCCACCGCCTCAGATCTTTGGTACAGGTGTGCAGATCAAGCGGCTATATCTCTGAGTGTCTCTGATTCAGGGCCTGATTCTCAGCAGTGTTTAAGAATCGACCGGACCTTTTCCGATTACATGACCTGACTGTGTGTGCGTTCAGTGTATCGTCAGACTGACCTTACTGTGGGTGTCATCCTTGTCCTCAGGCTCTAATCCCGTCAGCAGTATGAGACTCTGGCTCTTGCCCTCTCTCAGGGACCTCTTGGTCACCTTCAGTCTCCTCTCTCCGTACGGAGTCCCTCCCAACTTCATCTCCTTCATCTGCATGCCGCTCCTCTCCTGCTCCGTTAGAGGGGAGGTGACCACGGGACTGGGGGTGCGACCTGGCGAGACAGGAACTGCCTCTTCTTCTAGGTGGGGAAGCGTGTCAGTGGTGGGGTCAGGGCTCGTGGCGACGGTGGGGTAAGAGGAAGTGGTCTCACTGGAAGGCGTCGTCGTGGTTAATGTCTTGGCAGGCGCCATCGTTCCCCTGGCATCGCCTGCAAGATGGTGGCCGGTGGCGACGGTTCCTTCTGTGGTGGCGGCATCATTAGAAACGTTAGCATCCTCCACTGACCTAGACCCTCTCCCCTTCTCTCTCTCCTTGTCCCTCTCTCTCTCCCTTTCTTTGGCCTCGCGGAGGGGTCGAATGAGGTCTGCAATGGAGGTCCTTTTGACCTTCACACCCTCTCCTCCTCCTCCTCCCTCTCCCCCTCCTGCCTTGGCGGCTCGGCTGGCTCGAGACCTCTTGAAGGCAAAGAAGTCACCAAACTTTTTCTTGATGTTTTTGGTGGGAAGTGTGGTGGTGGTGGTGGGGACAGAAGAGGGGGCGGGGGGAGTGGAGGATGTAGAGAGGGGTAAAACATCAGTGGAGGTGAGGGATGTGTCAATAGATGGGAGGGAGGGAGAGGTGACAGTGGTGGTGGTGGTGGTGGTGGAGGGGGTGATATTGTCAGATGACGAGGAAAGGGGGGTTGAGGCTGAGGGGGTGGAGCTTGACTCTGAGGGAGTGGCTTGGGCAGGGATTGACTCCTCCCACCGGCCTTTTCTGCAGCAGGGAGACAGCAGAAAGAGCAACAGACAAGAAGAGACACTCAGTACTACGACTACTGCTACAGGACTCAAGACACATGCTCAGTTCAGGTACACAACAAAGGTCATGCAAACACATCTCTCAGTGAGCGCTACTTCCTGCTTCAGCAGAGGCGGGGCCTGGCATGGAGGTGTTGGTCAGTTGGTTAGTCTGTCAACACTTTGGTCCAGAGCACGATATCTACAGGACTACCAGCCAGATTACCATGATATTTGGTCCGTCTAAGGGGCTGATCACGCGTCAGCAGTAAAACTGATGTCTTCTGCGCTTCTTTCTTGCATCACATTTTTCTAGCATTTTAGATGCCTAATAAAAGTTAAAATATTCTCAACTTCTTAGCGCCATTTGAGGAGTTTGACCACTTGTTAATGTCACACTTGGCCCAAGCAGCCAATCAAAAAAAGCAAGGGGCAGGCTCTACACTTCATTCCTGTTTTGATGCCGGTAGATGTGGTAGGGCTAGTTAGCTCGTTAGTTCGTTAGCTGTGTCTGTGAGAGTATGTGAGAGGGAGGGGGGAATATATATACATATATACATATATATATGTATATATATATATATATATATGACAATATATATATAAAGAGAGAGAGAAAGGGAGAGAGCAAAAGAGAGAGACCACATTTTTCAATGAATCACATTTGAGCGACGCGTCTTGGTGATGAACTCCCCCCCTGACTTTTCGTCCAACCAGCATCATTATTAGGTCAAAATATCCCCAATTTTGTCATAAAGACCATAAGTATGCAGTTATATAAATCCATCCAAGAAGAGCAGACATGCTGCCTACACTGGTTGGGGATGGAGCAGTCTTTAGGCTTCCAGTGCAGGTGGAACGACAGCATGATGATCTGGGCTGTGAACTCCGTTGTAACTCGGATCGTGGACAGCAGCTGCTGCTTTTGCTTCGTGGATGTGTCGACGAAGGGTGAAGATGGAAATGTTTAAATGGACGCCAACAGCGGACATGGTTCTGTTCATACACTTTGGATGTCTGACGCTCCCCGCTACACACACATTGAGTATAGTTGGAGTTGAAGTTGTCATACTGCCCTGTATTTGATTTTTGAACTCTGTTAGGATCCAGGTCAGTTAAACCTGCATTAATGAACATGAGAGACGGGTACCATCTCTACACAACTGATGTAATGGGTTATGTGATGATGCTTGTGATGATGCCATTTTCACTGAGATTATTTTGTCACACAGCGAGCTAAGTACTTCTAGCCACTGCTGTTGAGTCAAAATGACATCCAGTGGATGGAGTCACAGAAAAAGTGTCAGACTTACTAATTGAGTGATTACAAAACTTAATATCCATCTTCAGAAATACAAGCATCGTAATCACTGTGTGTTCAGTGAAGTGAAACAGAAAGGTCAGGCAGGGGATGTGTGTTTGTATGGAGATACACTGAAGGGACACAGGTTTACACTACAAACACATTCAGCATGCACTCTACACACACAGCTGCAAGGAAATCACAAACATGTTTAGTGCAGACAATACATCTTTATCTCAGAGGTTCTGCCTTCTTGATGCGAAAAATACAATTTATAAGTAGAAGTGATATGCTCACCTGTTACAGTGAGTGCTCATTATTTTAATGGTTCAAGAATAAATCAAATTCAAATCTTTCCATCGCTTACTCTGATGCACCGTGAGCGGTGTGTTGGCTGCGTGTTAATAATAATAATAAAATGTAATGTATGTTAAACTAGAGGGATGAGATGTGGCGTGGAGGTCGAGTGTCCGTGAGGTTGTGTGCGTGTGAATGCATGACTGCATGGATGCATGCGCGGACGTGGTCACAGCTGTTAATGATGGTGATTTTGATGTTTATTGATTACTATTGATTATTATGTTTGTTGATTTTCTCTTTTCAATATGCTTGAAAACGTAACATAATGGGGTGAAATGCCATCAAAGAAACGCACAATAAATGAAGAATGATGTCATATATCTTGCCCGTCCCCAAGACAACTGATATCAATCAGTAGATTTCATGCTGCTGTCTTAAGTGGATATTTAGCAAAGAGAAAAATGTGTGTATTGCTCTGTTTGTGTGTGCATGTGCTCAACTCACAGCGCATAGTCAGGGATGATCTTCTTGGTGAAGAACTCCTCTACTCCTTCATCCACTCTGCCCATCCCTTCACTGGCCTCATTCTCCACCTTTGTAACCGGCTCCTACAACAAAAAACATTCAGTGTGAAGACCTTGTGTGTGTGTGTGTGAGAGAAACAACAGCCGTCATTATTCAGAAGCCTTTTTACAACTCTACAAACAGGTTCTATCATCAAAAACTCATTTCATTTTGTGAGAATTTTTGTGAGCTGCTGTTCTTTGATGTTTCATCCCCAAACTGGATTGTTTCTATAAAGTTGACAAGGAGCAAACCTGTTATTCTACGTTTAATGAAACTGGATAACATTTTAGAATAAACCAGTTTAATGTAATACAATGTAGTGAAACAGTGCATATATTTATCTAAATAAATGTAGATCTAGATATATATATATATATATATATATATTCTAACCTAAATCATGACCTCATACAATTCAGCTTATTTGTATCGTCATCATCAGTACAATTGCAAACTAGAAATGTGCAATCAGTAAAGGGCAGATCTCCACTGGGTGTGTCTGAACAACCACTGCTGTGATGTGTGATTGAATGAACACCCTGCTGTCCACACACCAAAGGGCTGTAAGGCGTCGTAGAACACACCTCGTACAATCGTGACAAAAACTAAATAAAAGTCAGCGAGCTGTCTGCTCGCGCTGCAGCGACGGTGGTGATGTACCCGGCAGTGTGTGTACAGGTAGTTGGAACGGTTCCTCACTGTTAGCTGTTATACAAACACAGCGTACAACACGTGAGCAAACTATTTACCCCCATTGTGTCTCTGGATGGAGAGCAGCCACCGAGAGGTACTCAACAGCATGTGTACTGGGATTTCCAGTAGCTGTTAGCAAAACACACCGTCCGAACAATAAAAATGAGCAAACCTTTCCTCCCGCTGTGTCAGCAGGGTGTGCTATCCTCTCTGCTAACCTCTCTGTCACTCCCCTCCAGCTCTCTGACCACTATTTCATGTCTTACTCCCTCTCCCTCTCCTCTCCCCCCGTACTTCCTCCACCTACCCACATGGTTTCTACACGTGGTCATCTCCGCTCCTTCTCCCCGGCTGATCTTTCCTCTTCTGTTACCTCTGCTCTCCCTGACCCTGAATCCTTCTCTCTCCTATCTCCTGATACTGCTACTGATCTTCTCCTCTGCACCCTTTCCTCTTCTTTGGACAACCTCTGTCCCTTCACGTCCAGGCCTGCACGGCCAACTCCACCTTCCCCATGGCTGTCGGACTCAGTGCGTACTGATAGACGGAGCCTAAGAGAGGCTGAGCGTAAATGGAGAAAAGGCAAACTCCCGGAGGACCTTCTTAACTTCCAATCTCTTCTTTCCACTTGTTCCTCCTCTCTATCTACTGCTAAAGCTGTTTTCTTCTGCTCTAAAATCCTCACCTCTGCTTCCAATCCTAAAAAACTCTTCGAAACCTTCTCTTCACTCCTCCAACCCCCACCCCCTCCTCCTACTTCCTCCCTTCTCCCTGACGATTTCACCAACTTCTTTGACAAAAAGGTAAACGATATCAGCTCCTCCTTCTCTCAGCCCCCTGGTCCCTGTCCATCCTCTCCCTCACTCTCTCAGTGTCTCTGTCCACCATCTCCAGCTCAACCCTCTCCAGCTCTTCCCCCTCAGCTCTCCCTCTCCATGCCCCATCTTACCCTATCTTGCTCCCCTCTCCCCTCACGAGGTCCTCGACCTTGTTACATCTAACCGCCCCACCACGTGCTCCCTTAATCCGATCCCCTCCCCTCTTCTTCAGTCTATTGCGATTGAACTCCTTCCTTTCCTCACCCACCTCAACAACACATCTCTTGTTTCAGGACGGCTTTCCACGGCTTTCAAGACTGCCAGAGTCACCCCCCTTCTGAAGAAACCGTCACTTGACCCCTCTGATGTCAAGAACTTCAGACCAGTTTCTCTTCTACCCTTTCTTTCCAAAACACTTGAACGTGCTGTCTCTACTCAACTGTCTTCCTATCTCCACCAAAACAACCTCTTGGACCCCCACCAGTCCGGGTTCAAAGTGGGTCACTCGACTGAGACAGCCCTCCTTGCGGTGACGGAGTCACTTCACGCAGCGAGAGCTAACTCTCTCCTCTGTCCTGATTCTCCTGGACCTGTCTGCGGCGTTTGACACTGTGAACCACCAGATCCTCCTCTCCACTCTCGAGGGGATGGGCGTCTCAGGCTCTGCACTCTCGCTGTTTGCATCTTACCTGACAGGTCGATCCTACCAGGTGACATGGAGGGGGGCCGTGTCGGAACCACGCATGCTGACTACGGGGGTTCCGCAAGGCTCAGTCCTGGGCCCCCTTCTCTTCTCGCTCTACACAACATCTCTGGGTTCTGTTATTCGCTCGCATGACTTATCTTACCATTGTTATGCCAATGACACCCAGCTGGTCTTGTCATTTCCCCCCGGGGACACTCAAGTGGAGGCACGCATCGCTGCGTGCTTGGCTGACATCTCGAAGTGGATGACGACACACCACCTCAAGCTCAACCTGGACAAAACCGAGCTACTGTTCCTCCCGGGGAAGGGTTGCCCGCATCGAGACCTGTCCATCACCATTGAGGATACCGTGGTGACGCCAACTCGGACTGTGAGAAACCTGGGTGTGACCCTGGACGATCAACTGTCGTTCTCAGCAAACATTGCATCGGTTACATGCTCCTGCAGATTCCTGCTCTACAACATCAGGAGGATTCGCACCTTCCTCACTGATGAGACGGCGCAGGTGCTAATCCAGGCTCTTGTCATCTCCCGCCTGGACTACTGCAACTCACTACTTGCCGGAGCCCCGGCGTCGGCCATCAGACCTCTGGAGCTTGTCCAGAAAGCTGCAGCTCGTCTGGTGTTCAATCACTCCAAGTTCTCCCACACAACTTCCCTTCTCCGTTCTCTACACTGGCTACCTGTAAGAGCTCGCATCCAGTTTAAGACTCTGGTGCTAGCCTACAGGGCTGTGAAAGGAACCGCTCCTTACGGCCGATCGACCCGGTCGCGGCTGCTTTCTGTCCTGGCCCCACAGTGGTGGAATGAACTCCCCACTGACGTCAGGACAGCAGAGTCGCTGCCCATCTTTCGGCGCAGGCTGAAAACTCACCTCTTCAAGAAGTACTACCCTTAGCCTTCCACTTAGCACTTACTTAGCATCTATTGTATTCATAATAGCTTATTGCACTTATTGTATTCATATTAGTTTGTGGCACTTATTGCATTGGTCTGTTTCTGCACTGTACGTTGTCTCTGGTTTATGCTCTTAGATGCTTGTTTGAAGAAAGGAGATGCACTTATGAATTCTGGTGACTACTTCTCTCGAAAACCGATGTTGAATACACTTGTTGTAAGTCGCTTTGGATAAAAGCGTCTGCTAAATGACTGTAATGTAATGTAATGTAATATGTGTGCAGCTAGTTCTATCAGACCAAAGCTGTTAGCTAGACGCACCATCCAAGATGCTCAAAGTGAGCTCACTGTTTGCCCCACTGTGTGTCACAGAGTGGTGGCTGAGAGGCGCAATGAACTCAGCTGTTTGTGTAGTTTGCTGTTCGCCAGACACACAGTCCAGTTCCCCCCCCCTGTGTCTCTGGCCACAGAGCAGCGGCTGGGGGTCAGCGATGCACTCAGCTGTGTGATCACTAGCCACGGACACACACAGATGTGAACAGTCACCCACGGACACACCCACAGACACACCCACACACATGCATGCGATGGCATGATTCTCCTGGCGGAGATAAGAATAAGAAAGAAATAATGGAAATAGTTGCGCTCTACTTTGGTTATCTGGTCAAAGTAAATGCTACAAATATGAAATTATTGACATATTTTCAGGACAAACACAAGATAAAAATTCAAATGTGATGTACAAATGGACATAAGAGCTAATAGCATGACCTGTTCTTGCTTCTTGTTTTACAGTAACTTTATATCTCAGCCAGCAAGTTTTATTACCACGTTAGCGTGCTAGCAACAGATTTATGGACTAAATTCATCACCAATCACACAAATAGAAAACAAGCAGCAACAAAACCGCTGAAGAAAAGAGACCAGCACACGAACATTAAGTTGTATTCTCTTTATCCAATTTCACACCATGGTAACAAACTAAACCATAAATCCCCCGTGCTTCAACATAGACTCCTTTATTTCCCTTTGCATACTGTTTTCAAATTATTATCATTAATCCTTATGATCCATGTCAGGTTTCTTGCTAATAACTACATTTTATAAGATTACATGTAAACACATAATAATGACGTTATAATTTACCTTTGACAAATACGCATTTTTACTGAATAGAGCTTAAACGCATCATAATGTAACTCAAAGTAACATTAGTTAGCCCTGTTATTTAGCCAAGCAGGACTACGCTGCCCTCTGGCTGCTAACAGCTAACGTGAACTAGCTCTCCTCCTGCCGGCTTCAACACAGATTTGTTGTTCTCTCCCCAGACAACAGGACGCCGTTCGTACTGTTACGTTTTCAGAATTTTGGTATCGACTTGGAACCAAACTCATGACATTCCTGGTGTGTAGTGTTCAATGTCATTCCCATCTCTCTCCCCTCAATACCCATCGTCTCTCTACTGTTAGTCTAATAAATGTATAAAAAGGCCCAAAATATGAATGAAAACTATAGCCTCAGAATGCTTAGATTAAAAAAAGTTCAACATGGCTAAAAAGTCAAACTAACAAAAACCAAATGGTTAAATAGTTTACTAGTCATAACAATGGGTCTTTTTCCTGTTAGTGAACACGCTCTCTCCATCTCTATCATCCAATGAGAGTAACATTTCTCTCTTTCATTCTCTGCCACCTCCTTTACAGCCACCTGTCTCTATGTGCTACATGCCAATACGGCACACGATTATTGGCATACAGACTCTGTCACACACACACACACACACACACACACACACACACACACACACACAC